GAATGCATAGATAAGCATTGTACTAACAAATAGCTTGATTGCAGATACTGCTTTTTTTGCTTTAAACTTCACAAGCTGCAACATTTAGAAAAAAAAAAAAGTTAAAAAGAGCAGTTTCTCCCTCTGACCTTGTCCGGTTGCCCAAATAATTACTGGGCTGTGGGAACTGAGCGGATTTCTTAGCTGGGCATAGTGGCTCATGACGGTAATCCTAGCTATTTGGGAAGCCGAGATTGGATCAGTCCTAGGCTATCCAAGACAAATAGTTTGCAAGACCCCATCTCTAAAATAACTAGAGCAAAATGGACTGGAGGCGTGACTCAAGTGGTTCAGTTCAAAGCCCTAACTTCAAACCCCAGTACTACAAAAAAAAAAAAAAAAGTATATCTTAAAGAAAAACACTGGGGCACAAAAAATGTTACTTATTGGAAGGATGGATTTGTCTTGAAGGGAACATCCTTTGTTTAAAGAGATGTTCACACATCTATGTCACAGTGACCCAAGTTTAATGAGTGGACTAACCTTAAAATCTCTGGGTCTAACTGCTAAAAGTAAAACAGCAGAAATGGCTAACTATACCAGGTGCTAGACCAAAGGGGAGCACTTATCCTAAGGTGAATTTGAGCCAGACTCCCCAACCCTACCTTTCCAATGTAAATACCCCTGATGTCAGCTGAGTGTGTCTCCCCAGGATCACATGTTCTTATTAGAGCATGCCTTTGTTTTCTGCTTGCTTGCCCAATAAAAATCTGACAAATTTTCCTACCATTGTGATTTATGCAGAAATTCTTTTTTTTATTGTTGTGCTGGGTGGGGTACATTGTGACATTTATAAAAGTTTATGCAGAAATTCTTTTTTTTTTTAATTGTTGCGCTGGCATTTACAAAAGTTTATGCAGAAATTCTTATTCTGGTCCTCCTTCCTGTAGGCAGTGTGAATCTAAGGGTGTGAACCTAAGGGAGAAATCCTCCTGGTGTAGCAAAAGCTACATGATGCCTGAAACCAGGCTTGGATTGCCCCTACAAAACATTCCTACGCCATTCTGGAGAGGGCAAGGAGTAGATTTGGACTCCATGAAAGAAAGGAAGACTGGAAGAGAGGAAGTATGTGCCCTTGCAGTGTCAAAAATAAAAATGTAGTTGGGGGTTTAGCTCTGTAGTAGAGCACTTGTGTAGCAAGTGCAAGGCCCTGGTTTGATCCCCAGAACCACCCCCCACACACATAAAATACAAAAAAAGATGCCCAAGAAATGCTTTTAAATCTGATTTGAAAATTCCTCAGCAGCACTTGTCCTTGAGTCCATAAAAACCTCTAGTCTAACAAGATGCTGTGAACCGCTCAGGGGCAGAGGAGCTTCCTGCCCACTGCAGGCCAGAGGTGAGCTAATTCCACTTGGGAGAATTCCGATTTGTCCTGGTGGTAATTACCAAGGACTCCAGTGACCACAACCTGTTGTGTTACACCAGCTCTTGATGCTCCAGCCCTTACCACCCACCCCAAACCAGAGACTGGGCAGGTGGAGATGGCAGTTTTTGACATATATGCAGTAAACATTATGAAAAAGTACAGTTATCCGTTGATTCACTCATTTATTCATTCCAGGGTGATTGGTGCCCCGTCCCCCTGCACATACTAAGCAAGAGGTAGATTTGGATTAGCAAGGAGGCATGATTTTTCCTTTTCACCTTGATTTCAACAAGGCCAGTACATATTCCTTTTTTTTTTTTTTTTTCTTGGTGGTGCTGGGGTTTGAGCTCAGGGCTTCAGGCTTGCAAAGCAGGCGCTCTACAGCTTGATACCATGCCTCTAGTCCTCCTCCTCTTTCTTATCTGTTAGGTCACAACTTCTGACCCCAGGTGTGACAGTGCAGGATGACAGTGCAGTGTGACAGGATCTGCTCCCATTCCCCACGGGGTCCCTGTGATTCCCTAGGGGGCTTTACAGGTCACCCAATTCCAGCCCCTTCTTCTGACAGCCTGCAAGGAAGGAAAGAGGCTCTTCCTGGTAGCTGTCTTTCCTCTCCTTCCGATTGTTACTTTTATTGTGAAACATTCCCAAGCCAACTTCCTCAACAAGCAAAAAGCAAGGCCACACCTCAGGTCATGGAACATTTCAGGTCTCTGACTTCTGCCAAGAGAACTCAGCAGGAGCTGGAGGGAGTATCCCACTCCTGCCCAAGGTGCCATAGAGCCAACATCTCACCTGCTTGCTGAGTTTCCAGGATGAAAACTCAGGTGCCAGTATCTGAAACAGCCATTAACACAGCTCCCACTGGTGGCAGTGGTCTGAGGCCATGCTCTCAATGCCTCCAAAGCGGACTGCTCAGGGACGACAGCACTCATTTGTCTCCCCTGGGCGACACTGGGGATTTCTCTCTATGCTGTGACTGGCAGGCAGCCTTTCCCTCCTTTCAGGTGATCATCCAGATCCCCGCCAGTGCCAGCAATGGGCCCCAGACACCCTCATTCCCAAAAGGAGGAAAATTCTGCCCAGGGCTGAGAATCATGCTGACCAAGTGCACCATTTAACACATGTCATAGTTCTCTGGCTAAATGTTTCTCAAGCTAGAGCCTTTCTTCAGTGCTGGAGCTGAGCTGGACCCTTTGGGCCACAGCAGCTCTGGGGTCTGCTGCTGGGATGCAGGGTGCTGTTGAAATGGGGGTACCCTCCCAGCTCATTGTCTGAAAGGGGAGTAAGTTTCCTGAAATGCTGGGTCCAAAATGTAACACACCTACAGATGACACTGGCAAGTAGGGCACATGGGGCTAAGAATGGGAAGCCTTGGCTCTGTAGAATGAAAGACACTGGGGCTTCCAGTGCACCTGGGGGATGCTCTCTGGGGTCACGAAAAAGACAGTAACTGAAGCTGCTTAAAAGAGGCACAAACTTGGTTCCCTCAAAGAATGGAACTGTGTGGCCACAGAGCCACAGGCTCCCTCAGGGTCCCTTGGGGTTCAGGGGTGATTGTTTCTGCAGGGTCCACCAGCCAGGACCACCAGTTCCAAGCACAGAGCCTGCTCTACTATCCATATACCCAAGTTCACAGCGTGATGTCCCTCTGTGCAAACTGGACAGCACCAGGGGTGGGCTGGGGCATGATCTAACTCTACAGTAAGGGACACAAAGCAAGCAACTTTTTGCACTTTATTAGTGCACAAAAGACTAGGAAAAGGACCTGCTATGGTTCGGATAAGTGTGTTCCCAGAAGGCTTGGTTAATAGTGATGGCACTAAGAGGTGATTGGGTCTTGATCACATTGAGTGGGCTTCTAGGAGATGGGGCCATCTAGGAAGTGGGTCACTTGAAGTATTCCTTTGAAGGGTCTCTCTTGTCCTCAGACCCTTCCTCTCTTGCTTTCTCTGCCTCCTGTCTGCATGAAGTGAGCCACTTTGCTCCACCACACGGTCCCTGCCATCATGCATGGCTCTAGAAGCAATGAAGACAAGCGACCAGGAGCTAAAACCTATGAAATTGTGACCCGAAATAAATCCTTCTCTTAAAGTTTTTCTTCTCAGGTTTTTTTGTCACAGTGACAAAAACTGACTAAAAAGGACCAAATAATTCCAATGCAATTTTATTTTTGAATGAAAGAAAGTCTAGAGTAAATGATCTAATAAGATTGTGGGAGGTCTACACATCTTCAACCTGCAAACCTTTTTCTTATCATCCTCGAGTATTCCTACACGGAGCAAGGACAGAATTACTCTGCTATGGAGAAGAAACCTGTGTCCTTGTCTTTGGGTTAGTTTTGTGATGCTGGGTATTGAACGTGGTTCTGTTCACTCTACCACTTGAGCTACATGCTCAGCCTTCTTTGGGTTAGTTAGCAATGAGATCAAAGTCTCTAAGGTAGCAGTAGTCGTCAAATACTGCAACACTACCGTGAGTAACTGTGACCACAGACAGGAACAAGACAGGATGGTGACAGAGAGTAGAGTGAATCTCTCCACCTATGTGAAGCCTAAGACTAACTCTGGACGGAAGGGCTAGTCTTCAGGGTCATGGACAGCTGGGCTGCTGACTCCTGCACCACCATCTTAGGCTGGCTAGGGCTAATTCGGTCACTGGAGGACAACTCGTGGGGAAATGACCACACCCTGGGAGGTGGGGGTTAGGGAGCTGCATGGAGCCTCCTGCAAGGCAGGAAACTTCCTAGATGGTGCCCCTTAGGTGGGCAGAAATTCAGCGAGTTGCAGAGTCAAGGTGTGCGCACTTTACCCAACGCTATCCCTCAAAATGTCAACGTGCCAGGGTGACCGGAGCCTGGGGCCCCTGGACCCTTCCAGGTGAGGGCATGGCTTCTTATCTCCCGGGTCTGGCAAGCCAAGGCTGACACTGCTGCGCAGGTTCTCCCCCCACCACCCCCCGCTGCGGGTGTTTAACGCTACACTTACCGTGTGAATCGTCGCTCGAAGCCAGTTCTGCCAAAGCACAAGAGACGGGTTAATAGGAAGACATGTCCTAAAACCGAACCGATTTTCATTTCTACTTTAAAAGGCACAATCTGCAAGGAGGAGAATGTGCCAGGGTTCAAACCAGACAGCACCACGGGGCAGACCCACTGGTTCACAGCCCTTCCCATACTCGGGGACTCTGAAGCCCCTGGCCTTTCCTCTTCCCATTGGGAACCGTGGTTTCACGGCAGGCCTCCAGCAGCTGCTACTCGGTGAATACGGGGCTGTGAGAGATCAGAGCCTCAGAGGCCATCGCCACGGGTGGTAGCCGCCAGGAGGAGTGAAGGCAGGAGCTATAAACTCCAGGAAGAATGACCGCTCGCAGAGAGAACCCCCGATTCTCCACGGAGTCCACACCACCGCGTATCCGGACCAGGACCGGGCGGGGAATTCAAGGTGGGAAGCTGCTCACCAGAGCTGTAGGTGATTGGCTGAGCCCGGATGAGGCCGACGGTGATTGGCCCGCACCTTCTTCCGCCGACAGGAGGTTGGGCTACGCTATTAGTGCAGCGGCAAAGCCCGCCCCTTCGCGTCACTACGTCACTACCCGGCCTGCCGCGCGCCGGCCTCCTCCGCTTGGCCGGCCCAAGATGGCGGTGCAGGAATCGGCGGCCCAGCTGTCCATGACCCTGAAGGTGCAAGAGTACCCGACCCTCAAGGTGTGCGCTGCGGCTCAGTCTGGCTCGCCGCGGTGCTTTCTAAGGGGATCGTGGGGGTGTCCTGGGGGACAGGGGAGGGGCGGGCGGGGTCTGGGCGCAGTGGGGCCTGGGGGCGGGGTCCTCGGGGCGGTGGGGTCCAGGGCGGAGGGGGCGGGATCCGTGGTTCCCCAGCGGCGGCCGGGCTGGGCAGAGTCCGGAGGCCTGGGTGGTGGTCCTGGGGTGGGGTGAGTGGGGGGGGGTTCCGGACAATGGGGGGGGCAGTGGACCCCGGGGTCCGTGAGGCCGTTTCCGCGCCCCCGCCCACCCTCCTGCCCACCCGGCACTCAGAGTCCGAAGGCGGCCTGAGGTCTGAGCTGTCCCAGCGACTGCCGGGCCCGAGCCGCCGGGGGCGCGGGCTGATAGGGGGCCGGCGTCGTGGGCGTGGGGTCGCGGCGGCGTCCGGCGTCCTCCCGGAAGCTCGGGTTGGGGCGTGGCCCCTAGATTTGCCTCCCCGCGCTGTTTGGGGGGCAGGAGAGGAGCCCCAGCGATCCGGTGGCACCCGCCGCGTCGAGGTCTCCGGACCTCGGAGTGCAGCTCCTGCCCTCGGCTGCCGGGGCGTGACCTTGGGTGGTCGCTGCGCCCGTCGCGTTCCCTTCGGGCGAAGGTGCGATCCAAGCGTCCTGGAGGGGTGGATGGATTCCTGCGAAGCTCCGGGGAAGAAATCCCTTCCGAGAACAAGTTCGGGCGTTCTTAGGAGAGCCTGCTGAGCTTTGAGATTCTGCATTCCTTTCCTCGGAGCCGGGTCCCTTCTCTCGGCCCGCAGTACCGCGCGACACCGTCCATCTCAAGGATGACAGGTGATGGATGCCATGTGGTTAGGTGGCGGGAGTGTCCCCAGCCCCAAGGCGGTCTCGCCAAGGGCTGAAAAGCACAGGTGCTGAGCTGACCTTTGCGGTCTAACCTGACCCCTGAGCTTATGGGAGACCTGGGGCGGTGCCTATCTGATGGTGTACCCTTATCAGATGTAAGCCATGGTAGCACCTGTGACCCCCGCATGACATGAGTGACCAAACACTGCTCAGGGCCGTCAGGTACTTGTCGGCATTGTCACTGCTGATGCCTGGCTGCCCTGGTTCAGTTGGTCTTCACAGAAAAGCAGAAGCAGGACCCTATTCCTCCTCAATAGTGGGTGAGCAGCCCTGTTTCACCACTGCTTTGGTGTCCACACTTTATTTGATCAAGGAAGGGAAGGGAAGGGGAACACTGCTGGCATTGCCAAATTCTTTTCTTCGAAATTTCTTTTTCTAGGTGTTTTGTTTGTTTGTTTTTCTGTGTGGGGGATCCAACTCTGGCCCTTGCCAAGGGTGCATTCTCAACCCTTGGGTTTTTGATAAAAGGGCTCATGTAGCTCAGGCTGGCAGTCTTCCTGCCTCCACCTCCAGAGTTTGGGGTTATAGTTGTGTACCACCCCGCCTTGTTTGTAGTTGGCTTTATACTCAACTCCATGATATTGGTGGGTTTCTCTTGGTTGACAGATGAAGACTTGGTGGCTCAGAATGGTCTGCACTGAGGTAGGGGGATACGCCATCACTGGAGAACCTTTAACGACTGACCTTTAGTTGCATTCAGCACCTCCAAATCCACCAAGGAAGTTTGCTAACTAGAGCTGTGGCGGCAGTTCACTTTTGATCTGACTGGTGAATGTGGGAACCACCAAGCAGGAAAGGTCTCCAGAAATTTCTCCATTGCCCATTGGGTACACTGGGAAAGGAAATGGATGGTTAACCAAGGGTTCCTTAGTCCTTTGTCCTCGGTGACCAGAGGTATTTACTACTCAGTCTGATTGAAGTGACCATGAAGAGGCTCGTGCACATGCAGAAAGATGGCGGTGTCATTTCAGATGAGCTTGCCATATTTTTAAAAGCAGTTTTCTTTTTTTAAAGAATGCTATTAAAGTTGATTTTTCAAGTAGAGATGCTACTTCTCTACTTCCCATCCATATGATGGTTCTGTTGACAGTGTATCTCTGCTGAGTTGAGGTTTTTTCTAGAAGTTTTCAGGAATAATTCCTGGTGAATGATGGGGAGCTTTTACTAAGAAGGTAGGGATCCTCACTTAGAAGCATTTTCTGACATAGAATAAGCAGACTATCAGAAGAGCTGATGTCTCCAGAGCTGTATTGTTGAGTCGGGAGGTTCAGCAGAGTAGGGTGCATAGTGTAGGAGTCCAGGAGTGAGGACTGAGGGCTGGGTGCTGGCGGGTATGGGTCTGTACCTCCATTCAAGGGAATATCCTCCTGCATGGTGGTGGGAACTAGACTGAATCTTTACCTGGCGAGAATTAAACTCCTTTCCTGCCAAGTACATCTGCCTCTGGCACACAGGGTTGGGGTCCCTGGGTGGGTTCAAGCAGTGGACCTGAGATGTCTACCTCCTCAATCTCAGGACTGGTGATAGACTCCTGGTGTCTGGCAGGGAATTCATTCTCTCTCTCTCAACTAGAGCAGTGTGAGGTGCTGTTGCCAGCATGCCCTGACTCTGGGCATGGCTCTTCCCTGGACCAACACAGGCTTCTCTGGAAGCCTGGGCACTCCTGGGCTATGCCATCCCTTACTGTGCATCCCAGGATGTTTGGCTGCATCCCCAGCTTCTGCCTACCAGATGCCAGACACGTTTCCCAGAATGCCTCCTACACAGCCAGGTGTCCCATGGGGTCAAAGTCACTCATGTGAGTACCTCTGGATTGGACCTTGCTCTAGGGGGCTCATTTCTTTGTTCTTCAAAAGCCACAAGGTGTGGCTCAGGAGACGTTCCATGTATTCTGGCTGTGACTGAGGTCTTTTGCTGAAAAGGCTGTCTGGTGCCAGACAGATGATGACCCTTTGGAGCAAGGAGATGAAGCTAGGATGTAGAGTCTACCATGTTGAACTGGAAGCCCTTGTTTGAATTTTTTTTTTTAAGTAAGTTTCTTTTCTCCAGATTATTCTGCTGCACAGATTGTTTTGTTCCATTAATATTTCTTTATTTTTTTCTTTTCTTCAGATAGGTGAGGTAGACTAGTATCCTATCAGTCTTTATCACCACCCAAATCAGGTGGAGTCCACAGGGGGAGGGGGAAACTTGGCAGTTGTCGCTGAGACACCTGACTCCTCCCCTTGGCTTGCCTGGGCCTACGTCTGTCCGCTCCTGGAGCCCAGTCAGAGGCTTCTCAGCTTGACTCTGTTCTCTCATACCCCCATTGGTGACACTGTCCTCACCTTTCATATGACAGGCTGAGAAATCTGGGAGTGTTGTTCCTAAACGTATTCTCGTGTGTCTTTGAGTTCTTTACAGGAATACTTCCATTTTCTGCCTTCCATTTGATAACAGTACTTCCATTTGACCAAGTACTGCCCTGGAATTCACAGCCTGGGTTTGTACTTGACATAGAGTTTGAATGCCAAGTACATGCCTCAGGTTCTAACTTTTAGTGCAGTTTCCCATACTCAGTCTTGCCTGGATTTGGGAGGATCATGTGTTCTTTTTTTTTAATATGGAACTCTTCACGAATTTGCGTGTCATCCTCATGCAAGACCCATGCTAATCTCTGTATCGTTCCAATTTTAGTGTATGTGCTGCCCAGGTGAGCACTCATGTGTTCTTAAGTGTAAGAAACGATGGTAACCATGAAGTATTTGACCTAAGGGACAGACACATACTGGACTTTGTCATGGCCGTGTATGTCCTAGACAGTGGCATTAGGCTAGATCTTAACTTCTTTTGATGGCAAAGTAGCACCACGTCTCTTGCCCTCTTCTTGGGCACTTACTAAATTGTAATCCCTTTCCTCTCCCAGGCTTCAAATCCTGCCAGATCTTCAGAGCACTGTCTGCTGTTATCTGAAATGCCCTTTTGCTTTCCAGTACCTACTGCCCCGGGGCACAGCTGAAATCCCTTCTCTCCTGAAGAGCTGTGCCCTGCCTTTCACTTGCTTTGTCTTTCACACCATTGGCTGGACATTTGACTGAGTGAAACATACGGGCCATGTATCCTGCTGGTGTCCTTGGGGCAGCACATGTTTTGCCTCTTTGTGTCTGGGCTGTTCTGGCATAATAGATGCTGGCTGAAATGAGAATGCAGACTTGGAATCCCTGCTAGCTGCCAGGCTGTTTTTGGTTTGTTTCTGATGTGCTAATATTTTAAGCAGATTTTGAGTTAGGAAAAGAAAAGACTTTGTAATACCTAGTTCTCAGTGATGTATGAGGCAGTACTAAAACAAGGTATAGAGTGGCTGAGGGACTTGAGCAGGGCATATCCAGTAGGCTGCGAATTTAGGATGCAGCTCAATGCTGCTGGTGCCAGTGCCTCTACACTTAACCCTAGCCATGTATTCCTGTAGTAACTGTTTGGGAGCCTTCCTGGGCCTGGCATTGTGCCGGACCCTGAGGTGTTGCGATGAGGGAGAGCGTAGTTCCTGTCCCCTTGGAGCTCATCCTCTGGCAGGAGGGTGGTGTTGACAAGTCAGTGATGTTTAAATCCCTCAAGGGATGCCCAGGTGAAGTTGGGAAGGGTGGGGTAGGCTCTTGAGTGGGTGATGAGCTGGTGGTCAGAAGCTGATAGACTTGTTAATAGCTTTAGTAAGTAATAAACATTTAGTGAAATGAGGTTGAAGGGAGAAAACATCCAGCATGCTGGAGGCCTGGCTTTAAATTCCTGACCATGAACCTCTGATGTCCCTGAGTGCCTGCCTTCATCCCTGTCCAGTCTCCCTCCTGTCCTCTCAGATGCATTTTTCTACCCATCCTTCTCTCAGGCCCCTCTATTACCTCACTTACCTGCACCTGTCATGCCAGCCTGCCCACCTGCACTGCTGTGCAGCCTCTGGGCATCCACCTACCTGTGCCCTTCCTGTGGCCTGCTGCTCTGGCAGTTGGCTTGTGTTTGCTCTGTGTCTCCAGGTACCCTTTGGTAGGTCAATTCATAGCATGCACATGGTCAGCTGCTCCTCTCTCTGCCCTCCTCTTCTACACTCTAAGCTGTTTG